GAAGCAAATTAAGCAGGGTTTGTGCTGTAGGTATCTAATAAAAAACTGATTGTTTTTTTGCAATTACATACACAATAAATCATAATAATTATACCTATGAATACATATCTGAATAATGAGAGATTTATGTTAGAATTAAATGTTTTAAAAACTCGAATATTTTTTTGGATAAAAATGCTTGTAAAACTGCGCTAATCATATATGCTGACGGGGTATCAGTGCAGGATGACAGGACGAGTATGTATCAGGTCACTTAGCCCATGATAGCGATAATTTACATGTGGGACCCCGTGTAGGTCGAAATGCAATGAGGTCACAAACTACAATCTCCGTACATCAGCATACTCGCCGATATTTTCCACGCAAGTAACGTCGCGAGAAAGAACTAGTAATAACTATAAATCACACTGATTTTGCGCCAAGGCATGTTTACTACAGTGAATATAAATAGTAAAACAACAGTTAACAACCTCGGTGGTCTAGCGGTTTAGGACACCGCTTTAGTTTCGATGATCGCGGGTTCGATTCCTCGTACAGTACAAACATTTGTATTAATTACTATAATTATTTGAATTGATCTAGGTGGTTTCTAAATATATTAAGTATGTATTTACCAAAAAATATCTACCTACATATCGATATCAGTTGTCTAGAACCCATAACACAGCTCAGCTGAGCTTGGCACTAGATGACGCTGTATGAATTGTCCTGATATATTATTATTATTAAATTACAAAGTAACCAACAATTACAACGATACGAGATCCATTGATATCAATGGGCGTTACTCTTACACAAGTTCAATCTGGGTTGATTGTAGTGCTCGTAGCCAAGTTATCTTATTACTAATGGATATGTGTACACAGACTATTCCACGTGCAAAACCTGTAGGAGTACTTACGCAAGTTCTAGGCGTGGGCAGTCAGGAACTAAGATTAATTACTTCAAAAGGCAAATCAGGTAAGTTAATAGGAAACCTTATTAGAGTGAAATATTTATATAAGTTAGACCCTGAAACGTGATACGGAATATCTTAGAGCAAAAGCAGGAACACCTGATATGAAATGAATTTTAAAAAGCTGTTTATATTATGTCTTAATTATATATTTGGAATAGACTAAAAGAAGTTTGAAATAAATGCTTGTATATTTAACAGTTACATCTATTATATCTATTATTAAAAATGCTCTCTGTTATTTACTATGTAGTTTCCCAAAAAGCAAGTTTTGATTATAAATTTTAATAGCCAGTATTAAATAAAATAACTAAACCCCAAGAAAGTACCTTATAAAGAAAAACTGATATTATACTTTAGTATTAACACTTGCACTTTTGCGATTTCTTGTTACTTATTACAGTGAAGTCTCTCGAATTAAAACAAACACATATTGTTACTCAAGAGTTCAAACCCTAAAATACATTCACTACTAAAACAAACATGAACCCTGTATAAAGTTAGCTCAACTTTTTTATTGGTTTTCACATGGCAAGGACAAAATCTATATTCGGCTGTTTACTGGTGATAAAAGTTACGTATGAATCGGTTGATACCTAGCCATTTTCTTTCTTTAGCTCGCCATTTTGCCTTTTGCCTGATACAATAAGGCGTGCGTTATAGTTTTTCAATCTGAATGTAAGTCTGTCATCGTATCATTAAAGTATGGCTGACATGTGTAATTTTATAAAAATGCTAATGCATAGTATTAAAAATAGATCTAATCTTCTTATTTATCACAAAGGCGAGAGTTTGCAAGGTATGATAGATGTATGAATTTATGTTACTCTTTCTAACAAAATATATTGAACGAAATAAATTTGGAACAATGTAAAATGTCCTATTTTGATCTATAAGATTAAGTTACCACCAGAATTCAAGCCGGTAGTGGTGCGGGATACGACTAGTAGACAATATCTCTCCATTTATATTTCTCCATCACAACATTGATAACTAACGAAAGTACAAAAAAACAATAAGATATTTTATTTCGAGACTGACCTACTTAGAAACTTGGTCATTGTACTAAAAATATGTGAATCTTATTAGGTGCTTACATTTTTATACGCGCCAATAAATTGACAATTCTCTTTAAATTTATTGAAACGTAAAAGGGCATTTTACGCCGATCAATAACAAAATGATTGTACATTCTTAAGCCACAAAGTAAAAAATTACAAGTCGAACACTTAGCAAAGGCAATAAGTGTTTGCTCTCACAAAATCGAACGGAATTTCACGCCCCACTTAATTTGATCAATTCTAATAAAACGGAACATTTAGAATTTTCGGACCAATGAAAGGCGATGTTAAACCGCGAAGTTAGTACCGTATAATCAACTATATCTAACTATTATGGTTAGCTGGCGTTATCATGGGTTTTCATAAAGAGTCTAACGAAATGTAGGTTTATGTAGTAAGAGTACTTCTACTAAAGAATACCGATACAATTTCGATGTCACAGCAACATGCAAACAATGTTCCATTTAACCTACTTATAATAGGATACTTCTGCCGATAGAAAAGTTACTTAAAGGTATGTCAGGACGAAAGCGACCGCGACGTGATATCTGAATTCTTTATTGCTTCAATTAACTGTTCAAATATTTAAATGTGCACTTATTATTTATTAAAGTGTTTATTACAGTGTATTGAAAACTAAGCAGATCATTTGGACTGCCTATGCTTTATATCGTGACAGAATCTAAAGTGAAAAATAAATAAGATGGGCCGTATGCTTCATTGCCATCATCGTAGTTATATAAAAAAAATATATTCATAATAAATGTTTATTAAATATTATTTATTTATTTAAAGTATAAACAATGGATGACGCGAATTTTAATAAAATTATATCGGTTTTAATACTAGTAACTGTCAAAAATGCTTATTACGGACTTATTATGTAAACTTGTATTTTAATTTCATATTAATAATACTAATAATTTATTTGCATTATAACATCCGAAATGGGCAAACTGTCCATTTGGCGATTAAGATAAGTACAAAGTATAAATCGGTAAAAAATAATTATAAAATAATGTCTGTCTATTTTCAGTAATGGTGGAAATAATTTTCTTTATTTACTTTAATAAACGATGTGTTTAGATTTATCTTAATTGTGAAAGCACTAATGGCTACTTAACGATACCATTAAATAAATATGGCGGCCGTGAATGATCAGTAATAAATTTAACAGTCATGTTTTTGTAACTTAGTCTCGTACATTTACTATTTACTTTGAAGCATTTAAGTAAATAGTAGATATTAAGAGACGATAATCCATTATCACTTTCTTCCATCATCATAATTGGAATCACTTCAACTAAAGAAAAAGAATCAATTCAGTATTCGCTTTAAACAATTATCGCAAAACGATTTCTAAGTTCCCATTGCTTTCACCGTACAAAATTTACACTATTCGAATGCAATTCACACTCCGTGAACATTGTTCTTTGTGTGAATAGAATACCGAACTCAATACCGCACAATGCAGATAAAATTACGTGTTCATTACATTACACTGGATATGATACAGAGATGAAGATCAAACGTAATAATTACATTTTAATATACGCCGTTTTAATCAGATAGACTCAACAATTGAGACTCTTTAAAACAGGTACAATCGAGTTTCTATTGTAAATTCTATTGAAATTATATTGAAAGCAATATTGCAAAAATATGTAACTGGCAATGAATGAACTTGGGACTATCCTTAAGGACATATTTTAATTTTTATATGTATAATGATGATTATTTTGAAGTAAAAAGAAGAATTTGTGTATATTATACAATCGTAATATTAATAAATCAAACATGAAACTTTCCTTTAACCAATAAATAACAAAATGTATTCAATTAATCATTTTCGCGCGGCCGTTAATTTCTACGACTTATTAAGTACGACTTATTTAAACTATAATTTCATTCATTTACTTCTAATTGGTGCATTTTTCATTCACAAATATCGATCACATGTTACACTCCTACGCTCCAGTAAGTTACACCGCCACAAAAAAGGTGAGACGAGTTTGTGAAGTACGAATCGAACAATGGCTTACTTTCCTCTATTTGTAACCTGTCATTATTTCAATGGACCCATTTGATGCTCCGATGAATGGGGTACAGTCGTAAAGTTGAATCAAACTTTCGTTTTACAATACAAACAGTATTGTTCAGTTTCGGTCACCGGGTCACGATACCTACGGACGAATTATCTTTGTATTTTCGTTTAACTAAATCAATTTCGTGAAACTTTCCGGTGTTACTATGAAAGTGTTTTAAAAAATAAAACTGAGAATATCGACTGCTGTGAATAAGATTTAGCCTTAAAAACAACTCGTAGGTACAAATTAAATTTACTAGAATTCCATATAATATACTTGACCTGGCTAATTGAAATATGAAGTACAGATCGATTCGTTGGGCTGGGAAATTAATATATAAATCTAAATTATTGTATTGAACAGTGACTTGAAATGTAAATATTATAGCTTACAAAATATTCGAATAGAATTTAAAAGAATCATTTATTCTGTATGAATACAGCATAGTTATGCATAAAAAAACGTATTAAGATTACTTTCTTATATCCTCTTTTCATTTCTCTTCCCAGTTTTTACTTTTCAAGTTTGAAGGAATACATATGATATCCACTAATATTATTTTTACCAAATAACACGTACTTTATAGATGTTATTGGGACTCATTCATTTTTTTACATATATAGAATTCGAATGAATGAATGAAGATACAAAATAAATCAATGGTTATGTAGTCCTTCGAGTCGGATAGCATCACCATTAAAATTTTAATATCTTTATACTAAGCTTTCATTTGCTATTAAATGGCAAGATTGTTGTTGGATCTTTTACTTACCTGTTATATTGCTATTAAATGACTTCTGACATACTAATTTAGCGTTTGATGGATGTAAAGGCCCAAATATTATGTTAGCTAGTAATATTCCGATAGGTATGTCAAAATATTTAATGCTATTTTGGAGATTATAGTTATAGTGTCTTTTCTTTTCAATTTCTTTGATTTTAACTTACAACATACATCTAATTATAATCGCGGCTACATTATTGATTAGAGATCTCCACCAACAAGACCGCGATACTTAATATACGAAAAAAATATATCCTTTGCAACGAATAAAATATTATTGAAATCTGCTCAGTTATGGCAATATATGTACAATTTTTTTAATGTAACAGATATAGTAAATAAGCTGTAAACCTGATGGTAAGCGGTAATAATCGTACATGTACATGAACACTACATATTATCATGTGACGCTCATGATAGCATTGCAATTCTGGACGACTAAGAGATATAATAATAATAGTCTCTGGACAATTCACGCAGCGCCATCTAGTCTCAAGTTCAGCTAGCTAAAGCTTATCTTATGGGTATTAGATAACAGATACAAATAATTTTTTTTTCTAATTCCCATACATATTACACATAGAAAACACCCAAACCGATACGAACAATCATACTTATGAATATCCGTAGGCCGTCATATATATCTATTCTCCCGTAATTTCATTATTTTATCAATCGAATAATAGCATGCTGCTTGGCAGCTAAAATAGGTGAGACTGAAATACCCACGCAGTCTACTTTTTACAAATTCTACCTCGGTAAAATATTAATCTCGCTATTATGAATCCACGCCACAAACGATTGATACACAAAGACTCGCGGTAAAACCAGACATAATAATTTCTTTTATTAAACCGTAATTGTGATCAAACTCTTGCATAACTTCCTGAGTTGCCATGACAGATAAACGTTCATAAACGTTGCTCTGTAAAAAATATAAAATTCTTTACCGCATTCATTTTCACTCGAGAACGGGTGGTGCTTGTTTAGCTGGTCTACTCTAGGACTGATTTCTTTCTCGTATATACTTGTAATACTTTTGACTGTGTATGAGTTTTCAGTTTTATGGCTGAAATTCTTTGCTGAAAGTACTCACCGAAACACATTTGTTAAATTGCATTTTTAAGTATTCCAATAATTTCCAAAATTATTAATAATATTTAAGTTTTCCGATAAATAGGGGTATTCTCATTCCGATAAATTTCATTATTATCTTCTTCTTTGGTCGTACACTCTTGACAGAGTGATATTGACTTTCATGGTGGTATCAGTGGATTCTCTTCATTGTACATTATTCTAGGAATCGTTTTTAATTTAATTTATTTTATTTTTCGTTAACATATTTAACATATTATGTTATGATTTCTTTACAACTATGAATTTAATGGTATTCAGTATTTTCGTCTGGCTAAAATTTTTAGTTATTCCAAAAATAGCCATAAGTTTAAAAAATAATATATGCCCCATACATACTGGAGATGTCGCTAGTTTTAATTACAGTCTCTAGGAAATCATTAGAACTGGGCGCTAAAAAAATGTCATTGAATTTATTTCCATGATCACTCAGGTACATCCACATTAATTAATTATTACGTAATGGTTGAGTGAAGGGCAAGGGACGACGGGACGGAAATATTAGACGAATATATTACGCCAAACTTGTACCGTATACTGTCAACTGCTTTCACAAGTATTACTCGTCAAATTTTAACTAACTTTCTAGTTATTCTTACATTATTTATTATGAAACGAAAGTTCTAGTAATATGATAGGGTATAGACAGTATGGTTAACATTTTAATCAATAAATATTAGTTTCATTTTATTTCTTCTTAATAAATCTCTTCGGCGAAAACATAGATCTTTAGATCTTTATTATCCATAAAGATCTAACTTCACTTTGCAAGGTATTTTGTTCATCTAAACACTGAACATTTTTATTTAATAATTATAGTAAACAATTACATCCACAGCACTTATGTAGAGATAATTCTCTAATAAATGTTATTATCACATTAAACTTTGTTAAATTTAATAATACTTAAAAATTAATTACATTGTAAATTAATGAAGCTATTAAATATTTCCTACATCAATTTATAGTTTAACATTTTTTTATAAAATCGCATTGGCAAACAGCAGATAACCAGCTGATTAAAAATGGAAACCATTGTGTGTAATACAAGCAGCAACGCAATACAATGTAATAGCTGTGGTATATGAGGATGAAGTAGTTACTGTACCTACTAATTTCACTACCATATAATAAGAATAATACAATTTCAGGACAATTCATCGCCATCTAGTCCTATGCTAAGCTGAGCTTATTTTATAGGTAGATAACTGATACAAATATATACATACATAGACAGACTGTTTAGTGGCAGAATTGGTTAAAGGGATGGCGTTTACGCTATTAACTTCAATATCTCAATCTAAATCTGATTATTATATAATTTTTTTAATCATATATTTATTGTTAATGCGCAGGATTTGAGGATCTCAGTTTCTATTTAGTATAATTGTCCTTGATTCCATTCCCGGCGTTGCTTGTGCAAATAAGCGTACGTTTCTAATTGAATGAATTTTCATTGCATTCAGCTCCGTTTAGTATTCTGGTTATTTGTTAAGTCAGAAGTAAAAGTTCAGTGAATTCAGGAGTAATTTACATTTGCCACCCCAACACATTATATGCGTACCCCTATGGCATGCAGTAGGCATCATCATCATCATCATCAGCCCACTGCAGTCCACTGCAGGACATACAGTAGGAATAATGAAAGTTAATTATTATTTCTATCCTGTATTTATAACTCCAAACTGCAAATATGATTAACGTATTAATTTGATTTTAAGATCATTTCCCTTAATCAATATATTATTAATACAACTCAATATAATAGTAACAAACAAACTATTAGATGTCTAAGCAAACCTCCTGTATTTATTGATATCAATCAAATTAACCGTTATCTGCGATGCATCTGATATGAAATAGTCTATTGCGATTACAATAATGCCCCAAGATATTAAATCTAGACCGAGTTTCTAAACGCCTTAAGGTAGATCAACCTATACAATAGCAGGCATTAGTGGAGATAATTTTGAAGTAATGTTTCACTGGATTTACCATGTCGGATAGTCTTAATACCGTTCTATCTATTCTATTATTTGCGACGTTTACCTAGATTTCTAATAACAAACTCCTAGTCTATCCGTTGGTTAATAACCGGGATTATACAATTTCTTGTTCCACTAATATTTAGCCGACTGCTCCAAAAAGGATATTTAGTGCAACATAAAACGTAAACGGTTACTAGATTTTTATGAATGAAGTATCGTACTATTAGTATAATACATATTAATATAGACAAAATACAGGTAATTCACTAGTTATAAGTAGATATACAACTATTTTCGTTTCTCAGAAAACAGACAAATGATAAACATTATGCCACGCGTGTCACGTGACCACGAGATGTGTGTAATAATATTCATGAATACAGCCGACGCGACGGTGACCACAGGCAGCTCGTTTGTCATTCCAGTTACAGAAAAAATCGAAAATATTCATTAAATATCGTGTTTTTGGATCATTTTCTATTACCAGCCAAGATTTCAGAGCCACAGGCCCAGTGCACCGTGTTCTAAATTCACACAATGCACTTTAGGTAGCTAAGTATATCTGCGAATCTATAGTTAGGTCTCTTTTAGAACCGAAGCAATATTTCACAGTAGAAAGCAAGGAAGTGACGACGCAGCCGGCGTTACTTCGGTTCAATACACTGAACCAGTTTCGAACGGAACCTTTCATACCTACTGTTTTGTTTCATTTCCGTACAACATTTTGACAAAACATGTTAATTAACAGGATAAAGTGTAAGTCTAAACAATGGAGAACAAGATAAAGTAAAAAAAATAGTGTTGTAATAACAATACAGGTGTTTGTACACTTTAAACTTAATTGTTTTCTTTTTGTGTAAGTTAGTACTTCATTCGTATCATTGTAAACTCTCTATATAACCCGTAGAGCAATTAATGCAAAGATAAAATATGAATACCTAAAAGGACATAATAAATTAACTCTGGCATGAAATTAAATGTTTAAACAAATATGTAGACAAACATTATTTATTTTCTTCAACGTATTAATTTCTCGATTTAATTATTTATTTCAAAGTAGTATTATACACATATTCATTTATTTACCGACAACTAGTTTCGGTTAAGCTAATAACTAAAAGCATTAGGTTCATTTACTTTAACTTAACTTTAGACAAAACCCATTGCTTTTCGTACAACTCTTGTTTAAACAGTTTACAGCTTTTATCTGTACCGACAAACATAAAACGGTAGTTGATAAATGCATCAATATTATTAATGTAATTACAAGTTATTCAAACAATTTTAATGCACAAGAAATGAATATTCATAAGTGTGGTACCTACAAATAGTACCTGAGGTTCCGTTACTTGTCCTAAATACGCTGAGACGGGTGGCCCAGTTCTTGTAGTTTTACATATCAATAGAGATGTAGGGATAGTGGTAATAATGCAATCGCTTTATTGCCAGAGAAAATTTTAATGGACGGCAATCGAATGTGTGATATTGTAATATGACGGTCTTGGTGGTCTAGCGGATTAACACACTATTTTAATTTCATCAGTTGCGAATTCGATTCTCCCATTTATTATTCATGAGTATGATTATTTTTATTGATGTGGATCTTTTTCTATGTATATTATGTATGTACTTTTAAGTATTTTTGTTAGTTTTATAGTACTCATAAATTAAGCTCGAACTAGATGGTGGATTCATTGTTATTATTGTTAAAACTTGGGTATCGTTTATACTAATATTATAAATTGTCCTAGCTAACTTATCAATCTGAAGTTTAAACTTCTAAATTTGGGAACCAGAAACTTGCTATATATAGATATTATATAATGTAACCTGCTAAATCTGGTAATCTGCTAAAGACAGAGTTTTGAAAATTTCAATTACACACTAAGTGTGCGAAAAGAAATGCAGCAGTTAGTCTTTCATTCTAATAGTTTTGTTACATAATTATTGTAGATACACATACGGTAGGTTATATTGTTTAAGTACTTTGTCGCACCATGT